CAAATTGTAGTTTTGTAGTAAATTTTTAATTACTTTAGTAGTTTGTTAACATGAAATAAATAAAATACAAAAAAATTAAATAAAACCAAAATCTAAACAGATTATTTACAATTACATGAGCATATTCTAAATACATACAAGAACATTTTCCAAACAACATATATATTATAATATATATTTAGATTATAATGAAGGAAATAAATTATATAAATTAAAAAAAATGGGAAAATTAAAAAAAAAATAAATTATTTAAAGGTGTTGCTTGATATATTTTCATAATTTAGGAATTTCAATTTGTATAATTTTGGCATCTATATTTGAATAGGTTTTACAGCTTTTAATTGTTGAGATTCAAAAGGCCTTATCAGACGGAGTTCCGTTTTTATATGAATTCGTTACATGGGCACTTTTAGCTTCCATAAACTAAATCGGGCGGAAATATATTTCGTTTCTTAAATTAATTCCGGCAATTTACTTCACTTCTCGTTAACCATAAAATAATCAGGAATTATATCAAAGCTTCCTATTTAATAATTTTTTTTTATCAAGCAATCCCTGTCTTTGGAACAAGCAATGATAACACTGTACGAATGCATACATATATACACCCATATGTATAAATGCAATTTGTGCTAGTGAAACACAATATCTAAAATGACAACAAAAAACACTTTATCATAAAAAATAAAAAAAAAAATGAAAATAAAAAGTAAACAAACAAAATCTCAAAATACATGCAACATGATATTTACATTATAATGAAATTAATTGTTAATACGTTAATTATTATACAAGAACACATAACACCACATAACTACTTCTTATATGCTTAACATAATTATTATGATTAACTATTATTATTATTACTATACATTACAATTTATACAACAAACATTTACTTTGACATACTACATACATACTTACATATGAGAAAATTGTCCCACATAAAAAATACATACATACTTACATACATATTGAATATGAAAACAAATTAGCAAATAAGTTATTTTCTTGGGGAAAAAATAAGAAGAAAAAAATTGTAACCGAATTCTAAAATTCAAAATGTTATACATTCATTTTGTTATGTGAATATTTTTTTTTGGTATATTTTTCTATTATTATTTATTATATTAAAATACGATTATAATTTATAAGAGGATTTTTTCTATTATTTACAAAAAGAAAATTATTGTAAATCATATACAACTATTATTGCATAATTATTATTATTGAAAAAGAATATAAAGAACATAGTCATAAAAGTAAACGAAGGAAAACAAAGAACAACAACAACAACAATATAGTAAAATATTACTTTTGTAAATAAAAAAATATGTAATAGGGTGTTTTATTTATTCAACTTGACAATAAAAAGGCAAGGTAATATCAATCCAATTAAGTAAGTTTCATATCCACAGAAATGCCCATGTTCTGTGCCGAAACGAGAATCGATCACTCTTAAGAGAAGACCAGTAGGTCTATTCTGTAACTTTTAACAACATTCGATATTGTTTAAATTTCTTTTGTTATTGTAAAAACAATAAAACAAACAAATTAAATTGTTGTAAAGTAGACAATATTGAATGTTGTTAAAAAGTTACAGAATACAGGGGCAGGAATCTATGTTAGGGCAGCCGCTCAACTCGAAGAGGTATTGTCCATTGTGATCATCCTAAAAGCCGTATTAGAGTAGGGGCTCTAAAACGAAAATATAATGGTCATAGAAAAATGGGATAATAGGTTATATATGTTTATTCAAACATATCAATTTCCTAGAAAAGTTGTAAGTGATTTTGGGATCTAATTTGGAGAAAAAGGTCTGCGTTTCTATCTCCAATCTCCCAATATACCGAATTATGGTGCATCGACAATGTAGATGTTCCATAGTTTCCATTTCCTCACATAGATATGGTGGTTTATGGTAATTAATCTCCCACTTTGATAAAGGAGATATGGTTGTCCTTATCTCTATCCTACTCATAAACTCCTGTTATTGTTAAATCGATAAGTCGATTGCAATCCACATCGTTAAAGTTACATCGAACGAGCTCATCAGCTACTTCATTTCCCTTAAGGGGACCCCCTCCCCCCATTCTCGGAGTCAAACATTTTTATAATATAATTCGAATCTACACTAATTCAAGAATGTCCCTACAAAATTTCAAGAGAAAATCTCAAGAACTCTTGAAGATATAGACGATTTATTGTGTCAGCATCAAGTAACGGCTAAAGGGCTTCTCAAACTTTAAACGCGTTTTTCTCATTTGTGAATGGCGGGCACGATAACTCAAAAACTAATGACCCAATCGATTCAAAATTTTTACACACTTTTCTGTGAGTGTATAGCTATCGTATGAACTAGGATAAAGCCAATCGGTGAAGATCTTCCTTCAAATCTTCTTTCAAAGGTCCGCCATTTTATTAATTTTAGAGCGAAGTCAATAATCCTTGTTCATGCGAGAGACAGACATGTGCTCTTTCTAACACCGTTGGAATTTTCGGATTCCGATGTTCATGCCCGTCATCAAAAATAAGGACTTTTCATTAATTACAAAAAACAACAACAAAACAATAACAACAATTTTTTATAAATTATTTTTCTTCTCTTTTAAATCTTCCAATATATATGTGCAAAGTTACAAACTTTAACAAGCATTGGTATTGATTTACCAGCCCATTGAAAATCTTGAAAAATTAAAATCGAGAATGGGGGGGGGGGTTCCCTTAACACTAGAAAGACTGAAGTTTTTTATATACCTATATTGCCCCAAATCGGTCAAAATGACCCCTTTGTGTAATGAATTACTTCAAATTAGATTTTATTAATTCTTATATTATTTATAGTAATGTATATTGTTATTAGTAGTTATTAAAAAATAAAAAAAAGTCAAGTGAAAAAAATTATGCATTATTTTTACATTTGAGCAAATGTAAGTGGAAATCTTGTTATGTTCCGCAAACATGCTTTTGACATGTGTCACATATACTACATATTATGCGATTGTTACTTTAGAACTATAGTTTTGTTATAAACTAGTTTTGTTTTAAACTATAACTCTAAATTTCAAAATAATAGCATTATTAATTCTGAATTTATTAAAACAAACCTTCTCCTGTAAAATTTAAAATTTTAGGGTTACGTTTTTTTGGCGAATATGGCTCGATATTTTGGTTCATTCAATTTCATGTTAATGATCCTACAAAAATGCGATGTCTGTTAGGATGCATCTGTTTAATATACAAATAGTGGTGAAGGGTATTATAAAGTCGGCCCGTCCGGTTTTACTACTTTCCTCACTGGTTTAGTTTTGTATCTAAATACCTTCCTCAACGCTAAATAATAAATCGGTAGGTGCATTTATATAAGGGCTAGGCCTAAATGCGGGCCGATATAGTCATTCTAGAACCTGACCGTCTAGTTTTTATCTCGATATCCTCCAAAAAAGATTAATTACAACAGATAGATAAATTGTATAAACGGACAATTTCGGGTACATGATATCCCCCATACTATTGTGGAATACGGGTATATAGAGGCAACCCTAAAACACGGAATAAATCAGTTAACAATTTTAATATAAAAAAGGGACTATCCATAAAATGGGGCGAATATTAAAAATTTTTGGTAATCAGTGAATTCGGCTGAAAACCGCGCTCAATACCCCAAAATACCGAAAATTGGAAGGTACCCATATATGGGGGCTACACGAAAAATTGATTGAATTTATAATTTTTAGTAGAGAGAGATTTGCTACGCAATAAGAACTCAAAATACCAAATTTCAGCGAATTCGGTCGAAAAACGGGCTCATTAACCCCAAAATACCGCAAATTGCCCTTATATGAGGGCTACCCGAAAAATGGACCTATATTTATAATTTGTTGTGGAGAGATTTGATACCCAATAGGAACTCAAAGTACTAAATTACAGCCAATTCGGTGAAAAATCCTTTGAAACCGCCCAAAAACTGAAAATTGGGAGGTACCGTTATATGGGGGCTACCAGAAAAAGTGGACCTATATTTATAATTTTTAGTGGAGAAATTTGGTATCCAAAAAGAAACCATCTTACCAAATTGCAAACCGCGCTCAAGAACCCCATAATACTGAAAATTGGGGGATACCCTTAAATGGGAGTTATGCCTAAACTTGAACCGATATAGTCCATCTTCGAATTTGACCTGCCTGCAGACAAAAGAGGCTTTATGAAAATTTTGGCGTTCTATCTCAATTCGTCTTGACGCTAGAGTGATTACAACAGATAGACGGATATGGCTATATCGTCAGAGAATTTTACGCTGATCAAGAATATATATATATACTTTATAGGGTCGGAAATGATTATTTCGATGAGTTACAAACGGGAAAACAAAATTAATATACCCTCCATACTATAGTGGAGGGTATAAAAAAACAGACCATTACCCTTACAATATTGTGGAATGAGCCTTTCATTTCGCTAGAGATCCTGACCGTTTCATTTATGTTTGAACGAATATTTTTAATCACATGTTACCCTGTGTTTCTGTTAAAAACGACGTCACCTTTATAACACAAATTGGATATGATGTTCATTCCACATGGTCCGTCGTAAAAAAACATTGTTTATATATTCCTAAGATTGTTTTATTTAACTGTGGGTTGGACTATAAAGATCACTCTCTACATTCCGCCTCTTTTTAATGATCCCTTCTTTAGTTCTTGTGACTTTAATATAATATCATGGGATGTGATCCGCATTTGTAAAGCGGAATTTCAATATCAGCTGTTTTTCATATTTTCCCTCTTCAAATTCGTAAACATATAGCTTAAACGCCTTGTTTGTTGTCCTCTTAATTCGTAAACATTCTGATTTTTCTCTGATTTCCCCTCTTACATCCTTCGTAATTATAAAGAAGTTCAGTCGTCGATATTGTATGAGCTAGTTCGGTCACTTCTTTCAGTGAATCTTCCATTTGAATAAGTACCTCTGAGAACTGCACGTGTGATCTAGGAATAACAATGGAAACCCCGGAAGGAGAACCACCTGTGGAGAAGAAGTTAAAGGAAGATGTATCGGTCGAAGTAATTCCAAGCGCCCCAGGTTTTACTCCTCCAACTCCGAATAGTAAAAATCAATTGAAGAAACAAAAGAAGCTGGAGCAACAATTACTGCTACGCAAGGAAAGACGTCGACAAGTAAGTACGATGGAGATTAAACCTAAAATACCTACCGAATTGATTAATAATTTATTATTCCTTCATAGGAAAAAGAACGCCGAAAACAAAAACGTAGAGAAGCTGCCGAGAAGGGTTTGCCCATACGAAATGGACCATCGAGAAAAGATCTGAAGCGGCGTCTGCAGAAAATTGGCGAACAAGAAAATCCCCTACGTATAGCCATCGACTTGGATTGTGACGATATGATGAATGAACGAGACATGGCCAAGTGTGTCAAACAATGCCTGCGAATCTATACAATTAATCGTCGATCTGAATGTCCTGTGCAATTACATTTTACCGGTATTAAAACTGATGGTAATATCCATAGAGTATTGAAGAAAAATGATGGTTGGGAAAATTGGCATTTAAAATATCATTTCGATGAGACACATTTAGAGGCGTTCGATAATAAGGAATTAATTTATTTAACCAGTGAATCGGATACGGTACTAGAGAGTTTGGATGCAAAAAATGTTTATGTCATTGGTGGTTTGGTGGATCACAATCATCATAAAAATTATTGTCATGATCGTGCAACAAAGGCTGGATTGAGAACGGCAAGACTTCCACTGGGGGAATATGTTGATATGAAAACCCGAGCGGTTTTAACAACTTTTCATGGTAAGCGGAAGATAAATAATGGATATAGAGGACAAAATTTAAAGAGTGAAAAACCGCTTAAAAGCGGTTACAAAGCCAATTCCTGATCGAAATAAACAAACATCTGGATACTTCGAACAGGGCTTGCAAAAATGAGTTCACTATATATCCTGACACAACTGTATTTTATATTGAATGTACTAACTAAAACACTTTGTCCTTCCAGTTTTTGAAATATTGATACGTGTGGCAGAGGGAAAAAGTTGGTCGGAAGCTATTTTACAAACAATACCACCCAGAAAAGGTGCCAAACCTAAGCAAATTGGTGGAAATGAATCAGATAACAAAGACGATAAAGTTGATAGCGTTGATGACAGTCAGGATACAATATGTGGTAACGAAGACAGTAAGCAATCTAATAAAGTTGAGTCGGAAAACGGCGATGCAGACATTGAGAAAAAAGTGGATAATTCAGTGGAAAACAGTGAAAAAGGCGATGACATTGCAAAAGAGACACCTGTACTAACAAATGTTGACGAATCCGAAAGATAATAAATGTGCAACTTACCCCAAGAGGGTAATTGAGTAAAACCTCTCTTATTTTATTAACCGGTTGTAATTGCAGTATAAAAAAACATATTGAGAAGTACTGCAATTTCAGGGATATTCAGAATTATATTTGATAGTCTGTAGAGTAGATGTTTGGTTTCGGTTTGCAACCAATTATGGAAATGACGCTTTAGAAATGTGTCAGAATTAGACCGAACCTAAAAAGAATATTTAATAAAAATTGTATCCATTGTTTTCATCCTGGATATATGTATGTTAAGTAGGTGAGAGGGGAAAGGAGATAATCCTTACTTTTTTCAATGACGTGCTCCTACAGTAACATATTAGTAGGTAAGGAGAAGTTATGCTTCGGATACATTTTTGGTCGAAATAGAATTTTGGAAAGATGTAACACATCGTCCCTAAATAGATGATCGTTGTCAGCTCCAAATTGAAACGATGCTGATAATGTTCAAATTTGGAGGTGATTCTGCATGTATATCTGTTGAAATCACGATAGATCCCGCAGTATTTAAGATAGAATAATAGGTCGTACAAAGTTTGACCCAAATCGGATAGTCCGTTCGCATGATATTCTAAAATTAATCAATGTCATAATTTTCACCATTTTGCGGGGAGGAGCCAGAAGGAGTGGACCAATATTTCCCATATTCGAACTTGAACTATGTTTGGAAGTAATATTACAGACGAACGGACATGCGTAAATCGACTCCAAATTGTCTGAAACGAATTTGGTCCAAAGAAACATGGGATCTAAAACGAATATTTCGATGAGCACATTTTTTCATATCAAGTTATAAGGCTGAGGGTATGAAAATTACGAATATTAGTTTTATTTCGGTATTCTGGGAGTCTTCTGTTATTCTTTGAGTTTCCATTGCCAAAATTATCGACATCGGTCTACTTTTTTGGATAGCCCAAATAACTGTACCCCCATTATTCCGTGAAGTCTGGCACGATTTCTGGTATTTTATATGCCCAACTCAATGCCCTATCGAACGATCCAACAGCTGCATAGTTAGAATTTTATATTTTATGAACTGTTATATTCATGACTTCAGGTCACACTGAAGTACAGGGTAAAAAATCACTTGGTTTGTATATTGATGTGTTATATATAATTGAGTATGTAATAACGTGTGTTATTTTTTATGTAAAGGTTAAGATTTAGCTTCCATATATGATCACGTCTTTTTAAATTTAATTGATGCACCAAACTCCACCACATTTTTACGACTGACATGAAATTTTGCGCAGCGTATCCAATTGAGTATAGAATAGAGTGTCTAGTTTTTTGATCGAGATTTTCAAAAGAGACTCATTTTTGTTTTCGGAAGAATATGTTTATTTGCTAAACTAAATTTATAATAATTAAAATGTAATCCAAGTCCACAGCATACAGGCTTATCTAAAAATAAATGAAATGTTAATATAAATGCAAACATTTATTTATTGAGATTTCTTACCGTTTCCTGTACAAACATGGTTTCAATTGCAACGCTGGAACATTGGCGACCTTGCCAACATTACGAACTTTTTTAAATTGGAAAAAGTAGAAAACTTTTTGCCCAACATCTTGGTTAATCAATTGGAAACCGAATGAGTCTAATTTTCGTACAAAATCCTTAACATTATCGAAACGTGATTGAATCTCAGCGACAAACATCAAACCATCCATTTTTAAAACACGATTTGCTTCCAGCAGATAATCCTTCAAATTTGTACCCATCAACGATAAACAATAGACTGCAACATCCAATGCATGGGTATTCAATGGTGTATTTGCCATATCACAGGAAATTATATCATCACGACAGCTAACCAAATCCATGGAGTATACCTTATGAGGTACAGATTTCGCCAACATTCCCTCACCGCAACCAAAGTCACCGATTTCCAAAGATTTGGGTAATTTCTTAACCATTTTAATAATACGATTCAAAGGATTCAATGGCCATTTCTCAACTTGATGACGATAGCCATCATGGTAAGCTTTAAAGGCTTCAGGATCTGATTTGAAAAGTTGTTCTGCTTTTTTACTGTTCATGGTGTAGAGTTGTTCGTTAAGGAAACGAAATCGACCTCCCATCAGTTGTTCTTTCAATTTGGCCTCAAAAGCCGTTAAGCCACCCGTGGCTCCAGCAGATGTGGATTGTTTTTCCTCGGCATCCTCTATCAAAGATTCTTTAGCTGCCTCCACTAGAGCTGGTGTTGCTTTCAATTGTTTTTGTTGTAGTTTCTGCTTTTTGTTTTTCTTCTTTTCCACCTTTCCTTCCTTGACTTTTCTCACAGCAGTCATAGTTTCATCATCATCTGATTCCATTGGCATTGGTGGTGCAAGTGGACCTTTTCCCTGGATTTCATTTTTGGTCTTTGGCTTATTTTTCTTCTTCTTGTTTTTCTTTACTTTGCCACTGGAACCACTTGTGTCATTTTGTGCAGTTGGCTTGAATTTTACAGCATCGGCATTCTTTCCAAAGGAACTTGGAACAAAGAATTTCATTTTAAATGGACTGTATCTATTTGTATCCCTATAAATTTACGAGAAATTTCCTCCTTGGACACGACTTTGTGTTTCTATCGAAGAAACAAATAAACAAACACACGTGCAGCGCAGGCCTTTGTTTACGAAGATGGTATAACGACTAATAACGACAATGTCAATTGTTGTTACGAACGATAGAAGGGAGAAGTAAGAAACAGCTGATTAATTGGGCTATGGTAAATCGATAAATTCTAAACATCGAAATAGTAATGACACAAACCGATAATTAATGTTTGTTTAGAAGAAATCCGACAATTTTAAATTTTAAAATGTTTTAAAAAATTAATTAACTGAGCACAAATTAAATATAATTTAGGCTAAAATCAAAAGTTAATTAAAGAAATTTGAAATTGTTTTCGAAAATAGATCCAGTGATGGTAGATTGGGAATCATGTATTTATTCTAGACATAAACTCAAAACTTATTTTTCCAATATTTAATACAAGATGGCGCTCTTTTGAACAATATGCTGAATTAGAAATGGTAAATATGTAGTTTGTAACACATCGAAATAATTATTTTATTCTTCTTTAGTATGACTCTATAATCGGTTACTACCGATTTTCCATATTTTGAAGGTTTTAGCTAAATCGTCGAACTTTATTATGGGTAGGAATGCTTAAAGAAAGTCCGATCTAATTGACCGAACCGTCTATGTCTCTTACTACGAAACATGGAATGGCTGCATAGTAGATGTTCCATCGTTTCTCCTAATCGGCAGTAACCAACCATTATTGATTATATATGTAAGGGGATAAACGTCTACTGATGTTGGGAGATTCTTCCATTTGAGGGATATGAAAAGCCACCCTTTGGACGGCTAAATTCCATTGATAATTCCATTAGTAGAAACAAAGTCATCAAGTGTTGGTCAACAAAACGAAGACCTTGTTAACCTCTTATATGTTAATTGGCCGGTCAGTGGTGATTTTCGAATGCGGCGCCAGTGTGATTTTCGAATATAGGTGATAACTAGTAGTAGAAGAACATATTGACATGACAACATGTCGCAGTGAGAACTGCAAGAAAGAGTCTCCTCATGATACCAATGGATGGTCTCCGTAAGGAGATGAAAACAATACCCATCCATCGACTTAGTATCTGCAGGGTGTGTAGTATCTGCTTGGGTGTTATTCCGCCGATCGGGGATGTAATCTTAAAAAAACAGTGTTGCAGTGCTACTCAAGCTGCGATCGGTAGCTTAGCTGAATGCTATCGGACGAGTCCACAGGTTGAGGATAGTGGAAAGTTCAATACTGGAAATGATCGAATGCCACAGATCTTCTGTATCGACGAAGCGTTACAAACTTGTGGATTTCTAGTTTCCTCCACTAAAGTATGACTCCTGACCATAAGTGTATGTGGTTTGCAGTCAGAGTTCCGATTATATTCGATCGGAGCCTCATCGATACCTGGGCGTCTCGATGACTTGTTAGGTTTATTTACCAATTCCATGACATGGTAAGGAGGCTATGCCATGGTTGACCTCCACAAATCAATGCCTATGGAACCCAAAGCTTTGTAAACCCCAAGAAACCAAACCTCGGTTTCGGGCACTGACTCTTCCCACAAATCAATGAGCGTATGTTCACGTAAGTCGCATCGGTCGGGAGGGGACGACTTTGCGCAGATCTTCGGCGAAATAAATTAAAATCTCCCTCTATTCCGATGCGGAAACTACCGCAAATACGGCATCACCATCACTTCTGAGGTAAACGGCCACTGAAGGGACAAGTGTTAAAAGTTAGTGTTCCAAAACAACTTTGGAACCCACGCTGGTTGCTTCTGCACCCAGAAATGTCAAACCATTGGAGACAATGTATCGAAAGGCAATTTATTGTTGTCAGCGATACGCAGATAAGGACCCCGACATGATCAGCAAAAAGGAATTCAGCAGGTTAAAAAAGGTTCCGTAGTTCCTCACAACCTTTAGGTCCCCTGGGAACTTCGGATCGACCGAATTCCTGCCTCGCGTACAGAGTTGGGGTCTCCAACTAAGCGACGACAGAGGAAACCCACTGAACAGGATCAAGAAATGGGACACAAACCAGACCAATGAGAGTAGTTGTGTCAACGGCAGCATCGGTGATTTAGGTGCGAACTGTTCCAACAACCTCAGGGCAAACTTTGAAACTTGTTACTTCTGAAACGACGGATGGTACCAGATGACCAGAGGGTAGCTATAATTTACAAAACTGACCCTGATGATAGGATCAGCGAAAGTCATTGGTTACTACTCGATCGTCATCTGAACAACAAAATACTAACGCGCGTGGTTGATCATAATCTGTTGCAGTTTAATGGAGTTACCTAATACACAGGGGCCAGAGTCGTAAACTGCGGAAATAAGGAGTTCATCGACTATCTTATTAAATTAGTAAATGACATGGTTCCCGTAATTGAGATCCCGTGCGGTATGGTAGCCTCTTGTAACTAGATAAAATGCGGAGGGTCCTTCACCTCTGCTCAAAAAAGGCTTTGCGTTGATCCAGGAGCCAAAACTACACCCTCTTCGCCACCTCCACAGAGGATAAGGTAAGATCGTGTATTGTTGTCAAGAAAAAATTTTAATCAAATCCTGCTATCTGGTTACAGTAGCTGTGATATCACCACCTTAAGGTTGAACAGAGGTCAGCAACCGCTCCTTATTGCCTCTGTGGACAGTATGGACAGTTCTGAAGTTGAAAATTGGAAAGTATCAGTAATGATTTCCTTCTTAGACGACAGAATTTCCTATTTTTCCCCAACATCATTTACAGCTTCGCTAGGAAATTGACATGGTTAAATTAACATATGTATATACTCTTCTATATACATCTTTAAGATCTCTACTCTATTACGACTTTTAGGATGATAACAATGGACAATACTTCTCCGAGGGGAGAGACTTGTGGGTTGTCGTCGGGAAAATCTCTGGCCTGCCCAAGCACTTCAGAAGAATCTTTCGTGATTTAAAGAGAATTAGACAGTAGTGTTACGGAATAATTGTCGGTCGCTACACGCCCAAGAATTTATTTACAACATGTTCTGTTATAGTATTATTTTCATAAATAAAATAAATTATATTAATATAAAAATTATGTTCATTTATATTTCATTTTTAAAATTAAAGTTTTTAAAATTGATTCGATTTTAGCTGCCACATTGCTATTGTTAAAAAAATTGTTATCAGCCAACCAACAGCCAACAATATTGATGCATAGAATTGCATATTGTTATCAGTCGTTCTGGTGTCGTATGTTTTCCGTTAAGTTGAAACTGAATATTATGAGAAAATTACAAAATACCTTTATATGTATGAGCTTATGTACATATTATTATAAAGTAATAAGTAAATTTAGGTACGCGTTTATAACAAAATTTTGTAAAACTACAAATTCCTTTATCGTATGACCAAAAATAGATGTGCACGAGTAACGGATGTAGTTTGGTGCGAATAAAATGCCGTGGCATTCCTTTGCGTCATACAATTACATCCGAATAAGATTTAATGCACTCTGCCATATGATGGAGGATATATTAAATTTGTCATTCTGTTTGTGACACCTCGCAATATTCACCTGAGATCCCATAATGTGTATATATATATATATTCTTGATAATAATTAAATTCTTTGTCGCTTTAGCTATTTCTAATGATTTATATTATTGGTAGACTAGAGTTTGAATAAAGCCGGACATCCGCGTGAAGGATTGTGTTGTGGTTCGTTATGGCGGAGAGAGATTTATGTCCCCGGTTCATCTGTGAAGAGTTTCAGTCCCCTCTTTCCCACTGGAGCCCCATTTTTATACCCTCTACTATGAGATTTGAAAATAACTTAACCTTTTCAGTTTTTTTGTCGAATATATTCGACATTTAAAATTACTCTCTTTCTTTGCGATTTTTTCGGTTATCCTATGTATCGTTACAATTGATGTTGTTGTTTTTGCTGAAAGACATACAAAACTGTCTGAGGGTTAAAATAATTTTTTTTCTAAACTCTGTGCCTTTATATGATCTTAAATACAAAATTTTAGATTTTTATTCCGACAAAATTTTTAAATCGAATGAGGCCTTTATATGCGGCTACGACTTTGTAATGTATTTGCAAGTATGGGTTTTATACTCTGGGAAATCGAAATACCAATTACTGGTATTAAGGTTGGAAAATGCGGATAGGACCTTCAATATTACGAAGAAGAAGTTATTTTACAAACCAATGGCCTGGAATGCCAAGTTACCGACACTTTGGTGAGGAAATGCTGCTAAACATTTTAAGATACCGGATAAATCGAAAATTGTCTGCAAAAATGCTTAAACCTCCAAGAACCAGGATTGCCAGATGTCAAAGTTCAGCTACATCGGTGAGAAAGTGCAACTAATGTTTTCAGAATGGGGAAAAATTGACCTAATTTTTGGTTGGTTAAAACTAAAGCACTTTTTTTCTTTTAAGGGACCTCCTCCCATTCTCTATTTTATTTAAATTTTCCAGATTTTCAATGGGCTGGTAAAAGAATACCTCTGTTTGTTAAGGTTTCTAACTTTGCACATACATGTTTGAAGTTTTAAGGGACCCCCCCCCCCCCCATTCTCGATTTTAATTTTTCAAGATTTTCAATGGGCTGGTAAAACAATTCCAAAGCTTGTTAAGGTTTGTAACATAGATTTAAAGGAGAAGAAAAATAATTAAAAAAAATTTTGTTTTTGCAAAATAGTCAGGCTGAATCCCAGTTTGTTGTTTTTATAAAAAACAACTATTTATAAGTGGGGAATGTATGGCATTGTTTGCCGAGGGTATGGCATTGTTTGCCCTTAAAAGAGAGAAATAAAAAAAAATCTTACTGTCCTTGTGTTGTTATTTTTTGTGGTTAAAGAGTCCTTATTTTTGATGGCGGGCCCGATAATTCCTCACTGGAACATCGGAATCTGAAAATTCCCACGGTATTAGAAAGAATACATGTCTGACTCTAGTGGCCGA